TATGTACATGTATACATGGTTGAATGCCACAGTTCAATAACAATTTTTTGGTTCAATAGTTTTAGTTGCAAGCACATGGAATTCTAGCCTATTCTATGCTTTAAAAGTGGTGTACAACTTTCACATTATCAAAGAGATGGGACAATGGGAGTAAGGTTTGTACTGTAAGTTGTAGTTTCCTTTGTTATATGACCAAATTATCTGTAAAGGTCTACCATTGCTTTAGAGAAGTTTTCTAACAGTATGGTTGACATGGGTAGATTGACATTCATCTTCTGGACTCTCTGCAGAGGAATATAGATGTTTTTCATCTTTTGCTTTTTCTCTTAAGTATATACAGTGTCTGGAAAGCAGTGTTTGCACATTTGCAAAATACTTGCTCAAAATACAGCTGATGATTATACTGACTTCAAAATTATACAGGTGAGGTATTTTGATAGAAAACCCACAATTACTAAGAAAAAATAATACAAAACAAATAATTCAGAAGGATTTGTTACTAGTTTACCATTACAGAACTAAGAAATTGTTCTACTGTCATTATAACTAGAATGGACGTAGGTCAATTAGTAATAAATAACATGAGCTGGCATATTGGCTTCTCTAGGACCTATAACATTTTTGAATATATGGTATATAGAGATGAAGTAAAGGCCAAATTTACTGTCTATAGTACCATTTATTGTTGACTCCATTAGGTTACAGTGTTTAAATGGTTGACTATTGTCATAGTTCTTTTTTGTGATTTGAGAATTCATACAGGGTTGTTGTGTTCCTTCTGGTTCACCAAAATTAATTTGTTACATTCATCCTATCTTCTTTCTCTTCTGGAGTTGTATGTCAGGTTAAACTCACAGCCGCTGAATCACCAACCCTTGCGTCTCGAACTGCTACCTTGACTCAAGTTCCTCTCCACTGTGGTGTCTCTCTAGTCTTGTATGTGGTTTTCTTCTTTTTATTGGGGACTGACACATCTGTGTTTCTCGTGTTGTTATTGGTTGATTTTTTATGATGTTCACTGACCCACATAAACTAAGTCCAGGTTCATGTCCATTACCAAGGATAAGAACAATAGAAGGAAGGAAAGGAAATATATGGAAGAAAGGGAGAGAGAGAGAGAGAGTTTTCTTTGTCACTCACTTAGTAAAGAGGAAAGTGTATATTTTCATATAGTGTTATTACTACCTAATCCTACTACACACTCCCCCTTCAGACATGGAATGAATAAAGTTTTGGTACGATTCAGTCCTACTACTATAATTGGTAACTTTTTTTTTATTTAAAATAATAGCACTCATTCTATTTTTTCCATGTGATATGTCTACCTGCTTTAGATGTGTACGATTTGGTATTACTGCTTGTACTATTTTCATCAGATGTACTGGTAGTAACATTTTTCTCACTGTCGGTGTATTTATTTGATTTTGCCTGTAATTTGACACTTTTTTTACATTCTTGTACAAATGGCTCTATATATGGTTTTAGTCTGTTGATTGATACTTGTGTATGTACATCATTATTTAAATCTGTTAAGTAATACTTCGGTGAACGTTGTAAAATTTTGTAAGGGCCTGTATATGGTGCTTCCAAAGGTTTTCATACTCGATCTACTTGAAGCCATATTTTATTGCAAGTATGTAAAGAATTTGGTATGAAAGTGTTTGTGTAATATGATGTTTTCTGTCATCATTTAACATGTCTAATTGTGACATTGATTTACACAATTCTTTTATATACTCTTCCTGCACAGGGGCAATGTCTTTAATATTTGTATTGTCATCTAATTGGCAAGGGGTCAGTAGTGGTGCTCAAGTAACTGCTGTGAATGGTGCAAAATTAGATTCATTTGGAGTACTACAAATTCCTACGAGTACAGTGGGTATGGCGGTTAACCACGATTCCTTTCAAGCTATTATTGCTGTTTTTAATGTGTGATGCACTCTTTCTATCAATCCATTACTTTGTGGATGATATTCCATTGTTATTAATCTATAGAATCCTACTACTTTTGCTGATTCTTGGAATAATTTGCTTTCAAATTGGCAACCACGATCAGTGACAACATATGCCCAACTGCGATATTCATGCATCAATGAAAGCTTGGGCTACTGACTTTGCAGTGATCTCTATCATAGGTTGAACTTCAATCCAACGTGTCACATGATCTATACAAGTAAGTAAATATCGATAAGGGCTGATATATTGTTCTGATTCCCTTTGTATTGGCAGCAACAGCCCGACAATGTTGATATTTACAGTTTGGAATGTTGCTGAAGGTAATTTAAAATTCTGCACAGCAGACTTGATGTGTCTGTGAATCTTGGATTGTTGACAGACAACACATTCTGTGAAGAATGTCTTTATGGATTTGTCCATTTCAGGCCCAAAATATCTTGCTTTTAATAATTTCAAAGAGGTGTGATAAGCAATGTAAGCTAGTAAATATTGATTTACGTATACCCCTAAGAACAAATGGCCTAGGACGTATATTGGAGATATGACATAGTATGGGTCCGATTTTAGGGGAAATATTATATTCCTTTAGATTTTTATATGACTTGATTTCCTCATCTTGTTTCTGTGCTTGTGCTATCTCTGACAAGTCACAAGCATCTATTTGAACTGTGAGTGCAGGTCTAGATAGACAGTCTGCAACTATATTCTGCTTGCCTCCGATATATATGATATTTGATATATATTAAGATAACACTGAAAGATGATGTTGCTGTCGATCGGATTTTCACTGGTTGACTGAAATTAATTTGTTGCATTCTCCTTTCTTCTTTCTATTCTGGAGTTGTACGTCAGGTCAAACTCACAGTCAATGAATCATCAACCTTTGCGTCTTGGACTGCTACCTTGAATCAAGTTCCTCTCAACTGTGCTGTCTCTCTAGTCTCATACGTGGTTTTCTTCTTTTTTGGAGGGGCTGACACATCCGTGTTTCCAATTTAATTTTTGGTGTGATGTGTTGTCATTGGTTGATTTTTTTTTTATGACATTCACTGACCCACATAAACTAAGTCCGGGTTCATGTCCATTACCGAGGATAAGAACAATAGAAGGAAGGAAAGGAAATATATGGAAGAAAGGGAGAGAGAGAGAGTTTTCTTTGTCACTCACTTAGTAAAGAGGAAAGTGTATATTTTTGTATAGTGTTATTACTATCTAATCCTACTACAAATATAATGTATTATACATCATAGAAGATGCTATTTTTCTTCACCCCAAATAAGTTTTGAAAATTTACACTTTGTCATTACAAGCCAAAGGTTACTTTTTAATTTAAAACCTTACTTGATTTGAAGTCAAAATCAAAGTGTATCATTGAGGCTAGAGCATGCTCCATACTGAGAAATGCGTTAATTTTCACATTGGGTCCTAATACTCTCAAAGCAGAATAGTTATCTTTTAAGAAAAATAAAAGAAAAAAGTCTTCTTTGTAGTGTGCATTAGAAATTGATACAGAGCTCCCAATAAATAAATTTAACAGATCACCACATCAAAATTTATTGTGTAATTATCTGGGGTAAGAAATTAAAGCAGATTTCCAAAATAGTTGTATAGAAATAAATGTAAAATTGCTTAGCCACTTCTTTTTTAAATAGGAATCTCTCTGTGTGTGTGTAATATATTATACAAAAAATTTTTAATGTTGTATCTTTGCTCAAAATTGTTAATTTTTTCATTTTATTTGAAATTTTGATTTTCTCTTGAAAAAGAAAGAAAAATGTGTAGAACATTCAATTACAAAGTATTGTGAAATATCTGTAAATGCAAAAGAAACATTTTTCCACTGTTACTTTTCTATATTGTATGTTTAAAAATATGTATTTTTTCTTTGTAATTTTTTTTATTTTATATCAAAATACATCAGTTGTGTAAATTTAAAGTAATTGTAAGCAGCAATGAACAAATACTACCCCAAATTTTATCTGTCAATTAGTAGCATTTCTTTACATATATTTGGCTTCTGATTGGAAGATAGGAGGTTCTGAGGAGCATGGAACCACTTCTGAATTGTTTTTCCCAGACCTACTCTGACCCGGGGTGATAAATAGGGAACCCAAAAACAAAACATTATGAAAGTATAAAAATACATTTTATAGTAAAAATACCAGTAATACATTTTTTATAGTAAATTTTATCTGTAGTTGAAGGTATAAATTTGTGTTCAAAATATATTTAGTTGAAGTCATAAAATTGTTCAAAATATTTAGATTTAGGCATTAAATAAACCATAGAGGTTGATATGCTGCAAAACAAAATCAAAACAACCAACATAAAAGAATTCTTTCATGACATTAATCCATATAATATCCTACAATTTCTTAAAGAAATTAAACTGTATTATAAAATATAACATCAACAAAACTACATAAAACACATATCACTACCTCTAGTAATTGTGTATATGCAAACATATATATGAATAAGAGTTGTATTTAATTATGAAAGCAGAATAACATTTTAGTACTTCAAATTTCACAAGAAAATTAAATTTTAGTATTAAATGACCCATAAAGGAGTTGATATGCCATTAAACAAACAAATCAATCTTCCCTACATATTTTCAGATATTGTGAATTGATTTATCTTGCACTTGAGGTATGGATTTACTACTGTAAAGTTTGGAGTTGGGAGATAAATAAATTTCATATATGCAAGAGGTATCTTTGGTAGTCACTTATTCTCAGCCATATCTCTGAAGAGAAGTATTTAAGAAAAGACAATTATTTTAAAACGGTCTTGCAATGAAAGCTCATAAAATAATTTGAAATTAATTTTTTCTTTTTTTAAATGAATAAAAAAGTAATAATAATGAAAGGTGATAAGATTTTTTTTCTTTAAAGAAAGAAGAATTTTTTACCACTTTTTCCAGGCCATTAGATACATGGGAGAATGCTTTAATCATAATTCTTAATAAACTTGTAGATTGAGAAATGTGCAGAAATTGCTAGAAAAAGAATGAATAAATAAATAAAGGCAAAATTACCTACCATGACATAATTATTAGCAGCCTTATAAAGATCAGCACATCCCTGAGCGTCAGCAAATTGGCGAATTCCAATGCAATTTGAAGGATGCAATTGTTTCATAAGAAAGCTGCAGCAAGCTTCTACAACTTCAGACAGTTGTAATAAGCAGGCAGTAGACAGAAGGCTTTCGACTGTATCCTCTTTCAAGTCAAATCGACCTGCAAGAATTTAAAAGGTGGAGGAAAAAAGATATCATTGATATGTTGACACTTTTTTTTTTTAAAAAAAACATTCTAATTTTCAGATTTTTTTAAGAAAAAATATTCTAGGAAAAATTATCTTAGCAAATTTCATAAAAAAAAAAAAAAAGAAAAGAAAAAATCTATCAGTTACTTATCGAGTACTTATCATTCATATGGTTTACTACATCTACTTTTAAAATTATCAGCCCTTAAGAGATTCTAGTTGTTAAATTCCTGTAGTCATGATTGAATTGATAAAAAATTTGAATGCATGATGTTAGTTCAAAACTACTGAAAATGGACACTAGGTGGCATTGTATTCTGTACTATACAAGGAAGGTACATAAATTCCATCTGTCTTATTTTGCTCCAGGATGTAGTAATGACAACACAAGACTAATCTACCCTGGTAGAGAGAAGTTCTGTATTGCTACTACTATATCCCTGAGCAAAAAGAAAGGAAGGGATTTATGTCTTTATATTGTCCTGAATAAAATGCTCCCTTAGCAGTGTTAAGTTCATTGGCAGAAGGGTGGAGTAATCCCCACAGATCTCTTCAGACATTTTTCTGTTATCTTCTCAACTAGAACAACACAGTCCAAGAGAATAACTTGATTCAGCACTAAGGTCTTGTATCACTATCAACTAAGAGCTATTTTAGAGAGTATTAAAACCAATCATCCTCCTGACTAAATAATCAGTGCAAAGCAATGCAACAAAATCAAGCTTGTGTCAAAAGAAAATTGGACACACTACTTCCTCTGGAATTATATCAAAATAACAGAAATAGGATAAGGTGAAAATGAAAACTAAAGAGTTTATTAAAAAAAAAAAAAAAAAAAAAAATTAAATAAATGTATAAACAAACATGGTATAGATTTTAACATCTAGAAACCATTACTTAGAAAAACTAATGTTGTTAACCCAAATGAGGAGTCAGTAGAAGGCCATTTAAAAAAAAAAATCTATAGAACTTTTACCACTTCCTACAAGGGTCATCTAGAGGATAGAATCCAATTTAAAGGATCTTAATATTCATTTATCTTTTGTACTTCCCTCCTGTGCCACACTAATGTTGGAAGCCTGGGATATATGACAGACTGCCTGCATAGCTATAAGAAATATAAAGGTGAGACTTCTCAAAATCTAAAGATCTCTATTCATGAACACAAAAGACACTTCCACTGACAGAAGCCATTTAATTTCTTAACATCACATAATAAAACAGGTTATAATTTTGATCTTAAAAATGATTAAAAAGAAAAAAAAATATTAGGGTGATAATACATAGAAGGAATATTAATAAATAATCAATATACAATAAATATTGAAACATTTCATATCACAAATAAAAAAGCTAAAAAATATAAGATTCAGATATTTGCAGATGTATTAGATATTTAATTCATACATTTGTCACATTTATCATACAATTAAAATACATGGATAAATCCAATTTTAGTACACACTTATTAACATTTCAAGAATTAAACACAGGCACCATAAGATATGTGACATCTACACAACCAATGAAAACAAAATAACAGGATTTGAAACTTGAAATCCAACTTTGCATTATATCACTTCAAAAATAATACATAGTGAAACCTGGTAAATTTACAAAAAATTTCCTACTTATTCCTTATTTATACTGGTTTGTTCAAGATGAGAAAAATAAAAAACATACAAATAATGTATTTGCTGAAACATTAACAATAATGAATACAGTTATCTGGAAAATATTCAAATATTTTTAGCTTTCTTGATTACAGAATCTGGAAACTGAAGGAAGGTTTTAATCAATTTTAATAAAAAAAGGAAAAATTTTGAATGTGTGCTTATTTCTTATTGATAATACAGGCTGAGATTTAATACATTCAGGTGGTTCTATCATAAAAGAAATTAAATATTTATCCCAAAACTGTCAGTATATCAAACATGTAATGATATGGCTGGCTTCAGATACCTTTTAAGCAATTTAATCAACATACTGGAGGTTGGGAAGTTTGTAAATTATGAATTTTTAATAAAGTGAAACTAGATAACATGAATATTTTTCTCTAATTTTCAGAAGACTCATTACCATTCTAAGACTTCTTTGACCGACTGAACTTATTATGCTACTTTCTTGTAATCATATTTTGGTTGATCCATTGTACAGCCTTCTTCAGGTGTCCAATCCATAAAACGAGGAATTATATCTTAGATTTGTGAATGGTGGATACATTTAGTTATTTAGAATATTTTTCTCTCACAAACCCCTATTTAGTATACATATTAAATTGAAGGAATTCGATGGATTTGTGGAATGTGGTTACAATATGTTAAAACACATTCTAACCACATGGAAGAGGGTTTAACAAAAAAAACTTCATGTATAAAATCCTATAAAAATGAAAAAGTGTACAAAAAAAACTAGTCCTCTCCTAAAAGTCTAACTTCCTGTTTTTTCAGTTTATATAGTTTTTTTTGTTCAAGTCAGAATGATTTTTCTTTGTTGTTCTTAATAATATCATCATATCCTTTTTTTTTTTCTTAGGTGGCTCATTTCCAACAACTTTAACTACACAGGCATTACCAGTCTCAGTAATTACTGTAATATGTCATTCTATATTGCATATAGTAACATTTTCCAATTCCTTCTGACTTGAACCTGCATGTTACTACCCACCCCTAAAATTGTGCAAACCAATGTTTTCACAATTGGTATTAATTAATGTTTAGGGAAATATATCACTATATTTCAGGTTAAAATATTTTTTATCAAAAAATTTGCAATATACTATACAGTAGTATACATGCTGATATGTATTTTTAATTTTAAATATCTAAAACTTTCCACTGATCATAAGCAAGTTACTAAAAACAAGGTAAAAGAGAAATAGAATATTGTAATGTTGAGTGATGGGAGCACAACATTGGAAATTTAAAAGATCATAGAACACTCAAAAAAAAAAAAAAAGAAAAAAAAAAAATTGTTAGCAAAATAAGAACAAAAAAAATATGGCTTTAATATCAAAAGTGACCTGCATAAAAACTAAGAGTAATAAGCAAAATAGTGGATTGATCAACAAGAAAATATTTGAAAAAACCAGTGTTGCAAATGTAAACAGAGAAGATGCAGAATATTAAGAGCAATGGCTGTTTCCATGCCTTTAGCTAAACTACCATTAATTAATACCAGTTGTGAAAACATTGGCTTGCACAATTCTGCGTGTGTGTGTGTGTGTGTGTGTGGAGGGGGGGTAACATGCAGGTGATATGTACATGATTAATAAGAGGCAAAAAAACGTGCTTTAATGGTTAGAGAAAATAACAGAAAAATTTTGGGGTAAAAATGACACATTTTGTTTGAAACTACAAATGATAAAGAAAAAATATATTTAGGAATTTTATATATATATTTTAAAGAATCTAAGTCACTTCTATAGCAAACCAACATTTGCTTATAAGTTTGAGTTAAATTTATCTTAAGAGGGCTTTTTAGAAAGATAACGTTAAATAAATTGTGTATTTTATGGCCTTTTAATCATATAATTACTTGTATATAGACTTTTCTTAAAGAGCGTTTTTACTTAAATTGATAAGTCAAATCTGTGCATCTATTTTTTTACATTTCTTTTTGCTTTAAATTTCTACATTTCTAAAAATAAAAACTGAAAATTTGGAGTTCAAAATATAAAAAGTTTGAAACCAGATGTTTTAATGTAAAATGTGGAAACAATGCATAATTGAAGATTTTCTGTTATATCTTTGTCACAATATGTAGAGTAATAATTATGAATAAAATGCCTAAATATGATTGTTAAATTTGGCAAATTTTTGTTTTTTTATAATTAGCTTAAAAGCCACCCTATGGGCAACATTTAAGCTAGCTCTTTTGGAGAGCTCTTAATTGGGCCTTTGGCCCAACAATGACACTTCATGCATTGAGTACATATTAAATTTTATTAAACTTGAACAATATTTTTCAAACAACAGTTTTCATCAAAATAATGATATAATTTGTCTATTTGGAACTTATTGCAAAGCTGTATGATGAACAACATTTCTGGTTTTCCCATTCAGGGTCAATACAAATAGCTTGTTTCCATTCTCAACCCTTGAACAACCAACATAAAGCTGGCTGTGAGAAAAGCAGGGTTTCATCAGATGAAGTCCAGTTACTTTCAATGATTGTCCTTGGGACTTATTGATTGACATTGTATAGCTCACTCTCACTGAAAACCAAAGTTTTTGTAAACTCAAAAGGAAGGTCTAAAGGAATTAAGGGGATTCTTCAAATTAAAACTCTTTCCTGGACCGGTAGGGATCTCTGCTTCAAAGAGATAAGAAAGCATCTTGACAATTAACCTTGTTCCATTACAAAACTTTGAAGGATCCAGATTTCTCAATAGCATAACTGGCACATTTTCTTTTAGTTCCAGCTGGTGTAATGGCATTCCAGAGGGATTCAATAAGTTCAGGAACTCTATTGGATAATTTACTGCCTGCTCTTGTTCAACCACAGTGTCAATGGAAAAGTAGTTTATACTTTCTTTTGGAATTTCTTGGACAAGTTTCCAAGTGATGCTATCCACAATTTGATTCTTGGGAGCTAATATGGCCCTCTCACAAAGCCAATTTGAATCCATGAAATGTTGCTTAATATTTGGATAAACATGGTTAATCACGTCTTGGATACTCGAGACTGAAACTCCACAACCATTCGTGAAATATCTTCATTTTGATGGTTCCATTGCCAAACTGCAACTGCAAAGCAGCAAATCTTCCTGCTTCAAGGTCACCTGTGATTTTAACTCTTATGTTTGTTTTCAGGCCGAGTCTTTGAACATGGCTCCAGATGTAAGAATTTTTCAGGCAAGCATTAATTTCATCAGCTGAAGTTCCTCGTGCAATGACTGGTAATGTTTGTCTAAAATCCCCAGAGAGTAGCAGTGATACTACCCATGATTTGTGAATTTTGTTTAATGTGTTTTGTCCAGGGCCTCACATGCTCGCTTCTGTGCCATGGTACATTCATCCCAGACAATGAAGCTCATCTCCTCCAGTAGCTTATTGAAGTTGATTCCTCTTTTGATGTTGTAAATAGGGGTTTCATTGTAGTTCAAATCCAATGGAAGTTTGAAGGTACTGTGTGGTGCTGAGGGTAGCAGCAATTCCAGATGATGCTACTATTCTTTGGATTCTCACTGCAGATAAAAGGTTAGTTATAAAAAAAAAAAATTTACCAGTACCTCCAGATGCATCCAAGAAGAAAATCCTTCCATTGTTGTTGTTATCATCATCAATGACCTTCTGATACACTTGCTTTTGGTCTTGGTTCAACAGGGGCTCATTATTTTGAACACATTGCTGCAGTTTTGAGAGAAACAGGATATAACAGAAATATCATATCCTGTTTCTATCAAAATTTCTGAAATCTCTTTGAGCCAAGTTCATCATTTTCTTTTCAATTTCACAGTAATTCAATTTCAATGCTGAATGAGCAAGTCTCATTTGAAGAAGATGAGATATTTAAACATTGTTTTGTTTGGTATATCTGTGTAGTAATAGTTGTAGCACAGTTCTCCATGTTATATTTAGCAAACGGGTTCACTAAGCAATGCCTCATGTTCCCCAATTGTTCTCTATTTATGCTTGTCTATCTCATTTGCATATGATACTACAGCTCCCTGAATTGGAGAGGTCATATACCCTTGTTTTTTGGGGTTTTTTTTTTTTTTTACTATTCCTGATTATTCTTGTACTGTGCTGCCCTTCCTCTTGTCTTTCTTGTTTTCTCTTTTGTGGTGATCTTGGCCTCTCTTCATTTTCTTCTTCACTCTTGTACATCTTTTCATTCTCACTTTCTTCCATTTCTTGCTTTATTCCACTTTTGTGACTTTCTGTCTTCTTATTCTTCCATTTCCACATCATCCAGTTCATTTCTGCTTCTGATTTGATTGGCATGTGCTAGTATATTTTGTCCCTTTTCCTCAAGTATAGTTGTGATATGTCCTTTTTGTATCAGGAAATTTGCTTCTTCTTTGAAGGGGGTTTGTACCTTTTGTACTCTTTCTATTTTCTTTTCATGTTTGCACATGTTCTGAAAATGATGTTTTTTTTTT